CGGTGATTCCCACTTGGATACCAAGGATGTCAATCTTCTCAGTATCGACTTTGACTTTGGTTGGAACAATGGCAATGGGACAGGTGATGGAAGGCCTCTGCTGACGTAACCAACTACCCTGGGTAACAGGCCATCTCGGAAGGTCTTCTTAGGATTCTTCCCGGCAATGTAGCATACTGTGGCAGTTTGGGATTCCTCTAAGCTGTGTGGACGGAGGAATAGCTTGTGTTCTTTGAGAAAGGGAACCACCCCTTGAATCTTCTTCAGTGCAGGCACACTGTTGTAATCAGGGCTGTGCACATAGAAAGAACAGGCAAATCGACGAATGTAGTCATTGATGGGGCCCCAATCCATTACGGAGGCATTGAGCCACTTCACTAGCTGGTCGCGGGTCATGTTTCCCAGGGAGTCCAAGTCAATTCCATTGCCCTCAAAGTCGCCTATCCCTTCATGGTCTTTGAAGGTGATTGTGTACCTGTCATCAGAACACAATAGTGTCAACAACTGCATGACCAGAGGCATAGGCATTGCTGTGGTTGCTGGATTCATTGCCTCAATTCGAACACCAAAATAGTGTGTATTGTGGCTCCTTGCACCATCATTGGCATCCTCAAAGCTTTCCTCGTCGTCATCCCTCATAGTGGCTTCATTGTCACCATCCTCATTGCCATTGGTGTTGGATTCATCGGCTCTCTCATCTGCATCAAGAGCCATGGGATTGGCCACACCAAGTGAGGCAGCAGCAGCATCTTGCTTGGACTCCTGAATCGTCATGGTGGCAACGCCTGGGATTGGTGGAACATCAATTTCAGGAGCTGGTTCCAGTAGACCCAAGGATTTTGCTCTGTGATGAATCTCTCGAGGCAATGGACAGTGAGTTCTCTGTAGCTCAAGAAGGGAGTTCCTAACACAGACAGAAGCAGTGTCATTTGCTGGGTTGGTGGGAACAAGTAATGCCAGTTCTGTTTCCAGATAAGGGAGTGTCTTGTCTGGATCTGCCTTCCACTTGCAGAGGAAACACAATGGGTCTCGAGGTCGAGAGATCGAAACCTGGTGACAGAAGCAGCGTTGAGGACTGGGACTGGGTGATATTGGGTCTGAATGAGCTGATGGTGTATTGGCCTCTTGCTTCCGAGTGGTGGTCTGACTCATGGGTGGGGCAGAGGCAGATGATTTGGGAGATGATGTCTCCTGTGTGTTCTGTTGGTTCTGAATGGCTGTAGAAGCGACAGTCTCAAAGATTGGAATAAGATGCTTGGCTTGTTGATGCTGAATTTTTGTAGTGGTGACAGTGTCGAAGGGAGGAGCCAGTTGCTTGATAGGAAGTGAGACCTCGGGATCCGCAAAGGACGTATTACAAGAGTTGCAGTAGTGACCAGAGAGGAGCTCATCTTGAATCCCAAGCTGAGTGGTGGTGGCATCAACACACTGCATTGCACTGGCTTCCATGGGATCACGACATTGTGGATGACGATGAAGAATGGTCCTATCCTACGCATCATGATTACCATGGCTACATGGTGAACTGCATGTCCTACGCTCACGGTCGTTCCGACAACCCATACCCTCGAGAACAGGCCTTCAGCAAAGAACAACTCCTTCAACTCACTCCAAGCGTCATCCGTCAGTGGTTGAACCTTCAAGCTTATAGAGACCCTTCCCCCCACCCTCGCGACCGTCCAGTGTTCATGCGATCTGGATCTCTGAAGAAGGTCAAGCAAGCTGTCAGTCACTTCATGCCGAACGAGCACGTTTTTTGGATGGATGGCCGTGGAGGGAACCCGTCGTCGAAGCATCCTTGAGCTGATTTCCCGTGTCGCAACCTTTGAAGTTCGCGGAGAAGGTGTCGCAGCCAATGACAAGCGTGCCTACAACCAAAACGAATTGCAGCTGTTTCTCCTTGCCGGTGGTTTCGACAACGCCTTCAAGTTTGTCTTGATATCCCTTTGGGCCTACCATCTCATCCACCGACTGGATGACACTTGCCATTTCAAGGTCAGTGCCCCTCATGGATCCCACTATGCGAAGCTTCCCTTTGCCATCTACACCCGTACCAAATGGTCCAAGAATGTCCGTGGAATGCGCAACTGTCCCGATCAAGTCCTCTTTGGCGCTGGTGATTTTAGGAACTGTCCCCAGCTTTGGTTGTCTCTTTATCTTAAAATCTGGCTTGTGCAACATCCCCATGCCAAGTTCCTCTTCACCAACAATGACCACATTCAGAAAGGTCCCGACAACCTCAACCAACAGTATGCCAACCGAGTCAGAAAGCTAGTATGGGATAAGGCGGAATTCAAGCGACTTGAAGATCACGTTGGTGATCAAGATGACCGAAAGGGATTGGGCACTCACTCACTTCGCAAGTATGCCGCTACCCGAGCCAGACGCAAGGTGCCACTCGTGTTCAAGGCGAGTTCCGCGGACGCTGGGTTGGAGAAAAGTCTGGAAGTGTCATGGGAATGCGGTATGAGGACCCGAATGACGAGTACACGGATGCCTTTGTGGCTGGCTGTTTGTGTGAGGGTGGTCCAATCAAGTATGCGGTCCGAAAGGACCTTGCTATTTCTAACGACTTTTTGTTCCATCACTGCATTCCCAACATTCGCAAGAGGTACGGCAATGATCTCAGGTTCTGCAGGGTCATGGCGTTGGCTAGGCTTTGGTGTGCATTCGATCCTCAAGCACGCTCAATGATGCCTGAGGGTTCCGATGCCTCTCTGCGCTTCCGGTTTGAACAGAAGTATGGTCGATAAAGCAAGAATCCCATGGAGAAAATTGGCTTGGTGATTGCCAATATCAACGGCCATCTTGAGATCTTTGAGAGCGTCAGTCAACTTGACCAAGACACGACAACACCTTCATGCCAACAACGCGGACAAGGTATGACCACTCCCAACACTACGGCGGCTGCTGGTGGTCGAGTTGTGGATTTGACAAGTGGGAATGAGGTGTCGGATCTGTCGATTGCTGGTAGTAGTGGTGGTAGTGGTGGTAGTGGTGGCCAGTCCACCATTTTGGCTTTCCTCTCCAACATTGAGAAGAACATGACGCAACGATTCGACACCCTGCAGAACAACCAAGAAAACCATTGCCAGTGGTGTCAGCAGCAGTTTGCCCGTGTCAACAACAATCAGCGCAGGTATGGTGGTACTATTGGGCAGGCCTTTGTGCGCGGGGATCCTCAAGAGCAGGCTAGGCGCCGCAACCATGCTGCCGAATTTACAGTTGGAGCGAGCAAGGCTGATGCAGTGGCTCCTAGGTTGGGCACGATTGATCCAAGTGCTAGGTTGATTGAGCGCCCTAGGAGTTTGATGGAGCTTTGGGAGGAGTTCATTTTTAGCATTGGCGACAACAAGGCTGCCAAGTCCTTCACAACCTTGGAGAAGAACAACCGCATGCTTGGGATCAAGCAGAAGTACTACAGGCGCAGCAAGGTCTGGAAGCTACAAGCCTACCTGGTGAATGCTGGTAACAACATCCAAGCTGTCAATGCCAAGATCTTGTGCGTTTACCAGGGTGATGGCAGGGTTACCAGAATCATTGACAGGATCATTGCTGATGGTAGGGATCAGCGCAACCCCTATGTCAAAGCTGTGGGATTCCGCATTGATCCCCAGCTTTGTGCTGAGGCCATCTAACTTGGCCATTTTGGCCACTTCTTGACTTTGTGAATTTCGCGACTTTGCGAATTTTACCCCCTTTTTAGCCCTTAGCTTTAAGAAAAATAGTGACGCCAGTGTACATGGTTCATAGCACGTGTAGACTTGTACTAGCTTAGTGTGTATGTACGAATATGTACCATGTCCTACGGTATCACTCCCAGTGACTATAGAATATGCTCGCGTAAAGGTGGCGTTTTTGTGGCGGCTCGAATCGTGCCAAAACCACGAAAGTCGCCGATTTATGGAAAATCCGCCATTCCCCATTGCTCCAGAGCCAGAACCCAGGAGAGTGGGTTGTGGGGTATCACCAATGAGTCCAGACTGGCTACAGTACGCAATAACTTTTAGGAGCGAGAGCTCTGGATCCCGTCAGAGATAGCACTAACAGCTATGCTGGCCTACAGCTCCAGCACTCACAGCTGGCTTATCTCCATTCAAAGCAGCAAGAAAGGATCGTCCTTTCCATCATAGTTAAGAAAATAGTACGAAAGATTGAGACCGATCCTGATTAGCTTGTAGCCCCTTTGATACCGCAGCAGTTGATTCCTATCCTGTTGAGGCTGGGCAGAAGCAGTAGGAGGTAGCAGATAGTACTGTTCCCAGACTGCCACTACATGATTGAATAACGAAGGCCCCCAGCTCCTGAGGTGAGATGGCCCAAAGGGCCCAACAGAGAGCTCTACTGGCCCTCCTGTCTGACTAACAGGGCCAAGTCCTTGGTTTGGGTGCCTACTGGAGGTGTTGGATACTCCTGAGGCACTCCAAGGCTCCCTTGCTGCCTGACTACCGCTGTTCCAGAGGAAGTGCAATACACGGCTCTTAGCCTTATTCGCGACTCGATCCTAGATAGGGTTTGAGTTCGACTCATGACGTAGGTCCTTCGCGAATAGTCATTGAGACAGGGTTCTCAATGACCGCTCTAGTCATACTAGGTTGATGATGAAACATCGCTCTAGATATTTAGCCAGCGTGGAGTACTTCCACGCTACTAGATAAGTGCTAGACGAATCTTCCACGCGTTCCGTTTTTGGATCGTGGAGTGAGTAGGATTGCTACCGCAACCTACTCTATCACACTCTACAGTCTCCCGCGGGAGTTCAGATCTACGATCCTTTGGTTGTGGATCTCTCTCGTTGATTAGTTTTCATAGCTTTCTAATCCTCTCATAACTTTCATTCTCTCAAACTCAAAACACTCGAAAGATCTTTACACTAGCTTTTAGCGTAGTGCACTCATCTCTTTCCCACACTGGGCAACACCTCGCTCCTCTCCATTGGCAAACTTTGTGACGCTGGATGCGAGGCCATCTTTCGAGCTCATGAATGCGTCATTGCTTTCATGGGTGACACAATCCTGACTGGACATCGTGATCCAAACACCAACAAACTATGGGAAATCGATCTCGACCACCAAGCACCGGAACAAGCCAATCTCATGGCCACAGCCAGCTCAACAACACCGGCCGACATGGTAGCGTTTGCGCATGCAGCCCTATTTTCACCCGTCCCCTCCACACTCCGCGAGGCACTTAAAAAGAAATACATCATCAACATGCCCGGGCTTACACTCGAAGCATTCAACAAACACACACCAAACTCTGTCGCCACTGCAAAGGGCCACCTCAACTAACAGAGACAAGGAATCCAATCCACAAAAACGGAACCGCCGCCACTACCACTCTTACCAGAGAGCAATGAAAACACCGACACGTTCCCCCTCCAAGAACAATACGACACCCAATCCCCAACGGAAGCGTGTTTTGCCGCTGTTATTCAACCAACAGGCAAATCCTTCTCAGACCAAACCGGTCGCTTTTTCATTCCGTCTAGCAGTGGCAATAACTACCTCTTTGTCCTGTACCACTACGACAGCAACTCAATCCATGCAGAACCAATGCCGAATCGCAAAGCGACGTCACATTTGAAGGCCTGGACCACCGTCCACAACAAACTCGTCCGTGCCAACTTGCGCCCTAAACTCCACATCCTCGACAACGAGTGCTCTCAACTCCTCAAAGACCACATCGATGCACAAGGAATCAAGCTACAGACGACTCCAGCTGGAATACACCGACGCAATGCAGCCGAGAGAGCAATCCAAACATACAAGAACCACCTCATTGCTGGCCTTTGCTCCACCGACAAGAATTTCCCCCTCCATCTTTGGGATAAACTCATACCACAATGCACCATCACCCTCAACCTCCTCCGTGGCTCCAGAATCAACCCATCGCTATCGGCACATGCACAAGTCTTCGGCCAGTTCGATTTCACAGCCACTCCCATTGCCCCACCAGGAATCCATGTTATCGTACACGAGAAACCACACCAACGAGCGTCGTGGGCACCGAAAGGCAAAGATGGATGGTACATAGGACCAGAACTCGATGCATACAGATGCTTCAAAACGTGGATTTGGGATACTCAAAAGGAACGAAAGGCAGATACGCTTTCATGGTTCCCACAACACCTACAGATGCCCCTACCTAAACCTATCGACCTAGCCATAGCCGGCATTCGAGACATTGCCAAGGCTTTCAGCCTTCCCCAAACACAACCCGGCAGCCACACAATGACAGAAAACGCAGCAGACACCCTACTCGACCTTGCACACATGTTCGATAAGCGACTACACGACAATTTACAGCCAACCACAGCCACGAGCTCAACCGCGGCAAAGCAACAAGCAGAACCACACGACAGCGCAGTTCTGAGGGTGGGGGAGCAACAAGCCACAACCACATACCGGTCGCAAAACCGACACACCCAGAAAACAAAGCAGAAGAAAGTCAACTTTGCGACACCAGCACCTACAGCCGAAACCACACGTCGTTCGAATCGAATCGCGCGACGAGAACACCAAGCTCTTCTCGCACAACGAGATCGCATGCTCATGGACGCAGATGACGACCACCACGCTGCACTCAAATCACTCAACCCAGACACAAACATCCTAGCTGATTACAAGGTCCTCCGCGCTTCGAGCGATGGCAAACACTGGATCAACTCATGCTGTGACGAGATCGGTCGGTTAGCACAAGGAAGAGCCTCTACAGGAACACCAGGCACGAATACCTTCAAATTCATTAGCCACACGGACTTACCACAAGGACGCAAAGCAACTTACCTCCGTGTGGTGTGTGATGACAGACCACAAAAGAAGGAAACACGCAGAGTGCGATTCACTGTCGGCGGCGACCGAATTGAATACCCCTTTGATGTCAGCACCAAAACAGCTTCGTTAACTACAGTAAAGCTCCTCCTCAACAGTGTGATCTCCACCCCCGGAGCTAAATACATGACAATTGACATAAAAGACTTCTACCTTAACACACCCATGGAACGAGCCGAATACATGCGCATTCCGGTGGACATCATTCCGGACGAAATCATGCAGCAGTACAACCTCCACCCCTTGGTCCACAATGGCTACGTTCTTGTGGAGATCAACCGCGGCATGTATGGTTTACCCCAAGCTGGACGCATTGCGAATGATGCACTAGTCACGTACCTAGCACAGCATGGCTACCACCAATCCAAACACACCCACGGACTCTTTACACACACCAGCAGACCAACGGCTTTCTCCTTGGTTGTAGACGATTTTGGTGTAAAGTACGTGGGAGAACAGCATGCGCAACACCTCATCGATACCTTAGCAGCCGCCTACAAAATCACCACTGACTGGAAGGGCGACCTCTACTGTGGCATCACTCTCACATGGGACTACGACAACAGAACTGTCGATCTCTCCATGCCAGGCTACATCGAACGGGCCTTGCAACGCTTCAAACATCCCACATTGGCCCGCCCAGAGCATGCCCCATACCAATGGAATGTGCCCAACTATGGCCAACCAATCCAATACACGGAACCAGAAGATACCACCACGCCATTGACAGCCCAAGGCATCAAACACATTCAAGAAGTCGTGGGGGTCCTACTATACTATGCAAGAGCTGTAGACCACACCATGTTGATGGCACTCGGTGACATCGCTGCAGCCCAAACAAATGGAACCGACAAGACAATGAACGCAGCAGTCATGCTCCTAAATTACGCAGCAACTTATCCCAATGCCATCCTCCATTACACCAACAGTGACATGGTGCTCCACCTCCACTCCGATGCATCCTACCTCTCAGCACCCAAAGCAAGATCACGCGCTGGAGGCTATCATTTCCTCAGCAACGGCACTACAGACAACCCACCCATGAATGGAGCCGTCCACGTCGTTGCCAAGATCATGAAGAATGTCCTGAGCTCTGCAGCCGAAGCCGAAGTAGGCGCTGCCTTCAATAATGCCCAAGAGGCTTGTCCCATCCGGCAAACGCTCCTCGATCTTGGCCATGTCCAACCAGCCACTCCCATTCAAACCGACAACAAGTGTGCCGAAGGAATTCTCAATGGCACCATCAAACAGAAGCGATCTAAAGCCATCGACATGCGTTTCTACTGGCTCAAGGATAGAATCGCAAATGGCCAATTCACTATCTATTGGCGCCCAGGCGCCACCAACATGGGCGACTACTACACCAAGCACCACTCACCATCACATCATCGTGCCGTGAGATCGGAGCATGTTCATTGCCCAACACAAAAACACTCCACTACCGATACCATCGGACGAGAGTAACAATGCCAGCCTCACCTAGCAGTGTGAGGGTGTGTTGATGTGGACCCTGCTCCCCTGAACCCTGTCCAGTCCCCCTAACCCTGTTCAGTCCCAGCGCAGCATTCCCACATCAGTCCCACTACTAGGATGAGCGCCAGCCTGCCATGAAGCCCACCTGGCTTTCAGTGGCAGTTTGTAGCTGTAGATCCAGCCAGTCCCATGCCTGCAGGCTCTGCCCCAGGCTGGGACAAGTAGCCAGTTTCCAGCTCATAATTGTTAATAACAAACCTTTAGTAACAACTCTTTCACTGGGCTACTGCCTAGATCAACATGAAGATCCACAGCTGCCACTTCTTCGAAATGCAGCTGCCGAGGGGTTCTCTCCTGAACGAATTCAGCACTGTTGGAAGGAAAAGCTTGGAGTTTATCCACACTTCACAAGGGCCGCCCTGAAAAGCAGACATATTCGGCATGAAGCAGTTGTTGATGAAGCTGGAGAAGCACACAATGACGCGGATCCAGAGGCCGAGTATTTGAAAAGTTTGAACGGCCTGAATGAAATGTCTTGCTCAGTGTTATCCATTCATGGCTACAATGCTGAACTGCTCCGCATGAAGCTCACATCATATAGTCAGAAAAAGCGACAGGATGCCATTCTGAAGCCAAGGTCCAGAGCCAGGCAGGATGCAATTGCGCAAGTGAAGGTTGGTGGCGGGCAACACTTCCAGTTGACCAGAGGAGCTGCCTTGAATGAAGACGATTACTTCATTTCTGTGCAGAGAGCAGCCAAGGAGTCAGAGTTGAGCAGCCTCGAGGCAGTCAAAAAGAAGAGGATGGAAGATGCCGAGAGGGAGGATTCGGCCATGGTTTTGATGCAGGCAAGAGAACATCGTGGCCGTTCTTTTAATGGCAAAGAGCTGAAGACTCTCATCGCATGGAAGCTTGGTCGTCCTTGCCCATCCAAGATATCTGTCACGCGACTTACAGTCTGTCAGTCAACCGGTAGCCACAGAGGATCGATTAGCGATCCTCTCACTCTTTTCATTCTAGTTCTTTGTTATCAAGTTACTAGTCGTAGAGTCCTCCGACAGGTTACGAGCCCTGCTACCGCTTCTAATGCTAAAGATACATGCTACTATTGCCATTGCCATTGCCATTGCCACTTTGCTGAAACCGATCGCTCCTTCTTAATCAAGACAGGCAACGATCGATTTCACGAACGGTCGTTTCGACCGAAAGGTCGAAACTCGACTTCTACTCCTTCTTCCACCCTTCCAAGGGTACCCACACGACCACAAGGGTCACCACTACAAGCGTATTGCTTCAAATAACACCAGTTGATCAGTGTTGCCGCAACCGCAAAGCGCCATTGTCAGTCTTTTTCGATCTTTCAATTTCCACGAAAAAGGCACGAACGCACGAAACGAATTCCGAACACGCTGACATCAGCGGAATTCCCAGGAATTCCGAAGAGTTTCCACTCCACGCCGAGTTTCCACTCCACGCCGAGTTTCCACTCCACGCTCCGAGTTTCCACTCCACGCCGAGTTTCCACTCCACGCCGAGTTTCCACTCCACGCTCCGAGTTTCCACTCCACGCCGAGTTTCCACTCCACGCCCAAGTTTCCACTCCACGCTCCAACTTCCACTCCACGCTTTGCTTCCACGCTTTGCTTACCGTATACCCTATACGTCCGGAACGACTTGCTAGCCTCATTTACGATACCCATTGATTCGTTTGAGCTACGGTTGAAGAGCTACGGCCCAATTTGTCCGATCCTATTCAGTTGTCCGTCCCTCAAGTCGTCGGTTCTCCGTCCTTCAAGTCGTCTGCCCCCATCAAGTGTTTGCGACTTTCTTTGGTGTCAGGATACAGACGTTAAAACCAGCCCATACATCTCAAGTGCGAAAGCTATCTTGTTTTCTTCTGGACGTCCATTATGACTGACTTTTCTACTATCATTGACTTCCATGTCAGTTTCTCAGAATCTGATCGTCGGTTGCAAGCACATACT